TTCAATACAATCCTCTGACCGGGGAAGTGAAGAAACTATAATTTGTACTTTTTCTATAAATAAAATGTAATGATAAAAATGTTCTTAGTCTTATTTCAACCGCCAAAAATGAAGGTGGTGATGCAAAAGCAAAAGCTGCCCATTCAAAATCTAGATACGACGCCAAATGTGGAGTATAAAAAAACACACGGCGAGTTACTTCCAAACAGTGTGAGATGCTTAATATGCGGACCGTCTAATTGCGGTAAAACGAATACGATGCTCAGTCTGTTAACTGAACCCAATGGTCTACGCTTCAAACACGTGTACGTCTATTCCAAATCGCTGAATCAGGACAAATATAGGCTTTTGGGTAAAATTCTTCAGCCGATGAAGGATATTGGCTACTTTACGTTTAGCGAAAACGCTGATATTATGGAACCCAATGCGGCCAAACCTAATTCAGTTTTTATCTTTGACGATATCGCATGTGAAAAACAGGATAACATTAGAGCGTACTTTTCAATGGGCAGGCATAACGCCATCGATTGTTTCTACTTGGGTCAGACGTATTCTAAAATTCCTAAACAATTGATTAGGGACAATGCCAACTTAATTGTTCTATTTGAACAGGACGACTTGAACTTGCGGCACATTTATGAAGATCACGTTGCTCCCATAATAACGATGCCGTTGTTCCGAGAGATGTGCTCGGAAAGTTGGCGAAATCCGTATGGATTTATGGTGATAAATAAGGATGCGGATGTGCAAAACGGCCGTTTCAGGAAAGGTTTCGATCACTATATAATACCGTGAAAACGTGTTTGTTATTCAGTTAGAAATAAACAGCTATCAAGTCAACAGCTTTCAAAATAAACAGCTTTCAAAATAAACAGCTTTCAAATAAGAGCTCATTGAAAAACAGGCTGTTCCCCCTGTTTGTTTACCTGTTCCCTTGATCGCATCATCATCATCATCATCATGGATACTAAAGAGATGGCCTTGAAACGACGAATAGTTCAAGCGCGTAAAG